CTGCGCCGGCACCGGAGCCGGTCCCGTCCAGCCACTTGTGTGGCGGTAGCTCCACACTGCGGCCCTTACACACGCATGTGCGAGGCCAGGCGGACACCCCCCCCCTCCCCCTCCGCAGTGCACAGCGATGTCGTCCTGGCTTCCGAACGGGTTTGCAAAGAAAGGATTTTTCTCCGCCGGGTTTTCAACGAGGTCTCTAAAAAAAACACCCCACTTTCTTGCTGAGAGGAGGAGGTTTGCATGGGAAAAATTCCCGTATGCAAATTGTGGAAACCAGCTGTCCTACACACGCACACGCATGCACACCCATATCCCCCATGGGAATGCACATGTATAACGCACGAAATAACGAATCGCTTGATGTTGCACTCTCTCCTACGGCGTCCTCCGTTCAAAACGCAGCCGCGCCGCGCGAAGCCGTATCGCAGCCGAGGGGGAGACGGCGCCTTCTTCGGATGAGGCTCGCAATGTGATGCGATGCAATGGAGACTGCTGTTGCGAAAGAAACCTCAACCTCGTTTCCTTCGCAGTTCAGATCACTCTCTCTGTCTCTCTTCCTCCTCCACCCTCAAAAGCCGTTAGGGGTCAAAACTGGAGAGGAGAAAAACAACCGAGGGCTTCCCTATGCGCTTTCGACGTGTTTACTCTCAAAAGTCAGAGCTGGCTTCCTAAAGGGTACTGAAACAAAAGCAGCAAAAGGAACCGTAGCCATATTCAAATAAGTCGTCTGCCCACAGCTGTTATCTAAAGTAACGAGCATTCGTTTTCTGTACTCGTCACGGGAGGGAAATTGGTCTTTTCTGCCTTGATTTGACATTGTGCGTGTGTGAGCTGCAAGCAAAAAAACCCCCAAAAAGGGGGGGGGGGGAATTCCTCTCTGCAAACTTGCTCCGTCTTACACAGTCGCGAGCGGCTTCTCCACGTAGGGACGATAAAACAAAACGCTGGAGAAACTTTCTTCCCCAAACCAAACACGCAAACATGGTGGTTTCACTTCTTCTTGGCAAAACTTCCCTGTAGAAACCAGCCTGCAGATCTCGTATGGTGGGTGCCAAGGGATCATTTATCCTGACAAATGCACAGCAAAAACAACCACAACCCCTATTTGACAGTAAAGCAGTCTATAAATAATTACAGCTGAAGCAGTTCTCTTAATAAATGAATAACAAATGTGGGGTGATGCCTGCTCATTATTGTGCATGTTTGCTTGCTGCTTCATTCGCAGACCTCATTCATTCCCCCCCCCCCCCCTTGTCTTGGGTGCAAATTAGCAAGGGCATGTCATAAAAATAACACATTTTATACACATGCTGTTGGGACTTCAGTGTATCTGGGAAGCTTTGCAATAAAACAAAAGACTATACAATAAAAGGTCTTCACGCAGTGATTTCAAACGGCAAGCTACTGTTAAAGGGCAGCACGACATGGTGCACTGCTGCAAACGCAGTCCACTTGTTTACTGCTGATTTTAAATGCCAGGTATATGTTTTGAACGGTGATATCAACTCTCAGTTGCAAACGTGGACGCATCGTGGGTTATTTTTAATCCCCCCTAATACTGCAGCAGGTTTCATGGTCCATGGTTTTTTTTTTTAAAAAGGACAGGGATATCCAGAGCTTGCTTGGATCTGAAGATCAATTTTTGTCCTTGAAGGAGGAAGAGAAGGGGGAAAAAAATCCCAAGCCAGCCACCCAGCCCTGAGCCTGAATCCCTAGCAGCCCTGCTTTGATTAAATTAGAGAGGCATTAACATAAGCATTTCTGGTTCACAATGAGGCCAGATAAAGTGACCTTGAAGTGTGGAGCCATTTTAGGAGCGGGGATAAAGAACAAGTCACTGGCTGGGGGTGCAGAGCCCGAGAGCCATCTCTGGCCAGGGACAGGGGCGGTATGAAAAGGAAGAAGCAATTTTATTATTTATTTCAAAACAACTTTTTTTTGCGTTGCTGTTGCTCCCAGTAGAAAACTGACCCGGATTCAATTCCTCTGACGTGCCCGATGTTTACTTTACAACTACAGCTCAGTGCCCGGCCTTCCCATATTTGCTTCATCTCCGGTTGCAAGGGGTAGATCCTCAGTTTACACAGATTCCTAGATGCTGGAAGGGACCTTGCAAGATCACCAGGTCCAGCCCCCTGCTCTAGGGCAGGAAAGACCTCGCTCCGTGCGCACAGCTGGACATCCACACCTTGCCATGTGATTCCTCCTCTCCTTTCAAAGCCAGTGCAAGGGGGGCTGCAGTAGGATCTGCATCGAACCCCCCAAAATGAAGGACCTGATTCTGCTCTCTCTGACATGCGAATGAGGACGGTTTCAGGGTCACGCTGCTAAAACCAGATCAGCCAGACCGCAATCTTTCCAGGCCCCATCCTTGTCTTGCCCCCATTCTTGCATTCCCAAGAGGCTTCATTTGCTCTACATCCTCTGATTCCCATCTAGCTGATCCAGGGCATTAGTAATAGCATATGTCTCCTGAGCTTGTAAACAAGTCGGTTGCAGCAGTCATATGCTCCGAGCCTTCACCTCCTCGGCGCTGCAATGAGTTCGTGTTTCACACAATTGGCACCTGGAGCTATTCGTTTCAGGAAGATCTCTTAATACATGTCAGGGCTGCATCACAAGACATTGATAGATCTCTGTGACATTAGAGCTGACAGCAGCGCCGGGAGAGCATCTCAAACATTTGCCAGTCCCGCAAACTTCCCATATTGTCATGGAATTAACTACCTGCTGAAAAGTAACGTATGCACCATTTATATGTAATTAGTTAATATTTCTATAATAGCGGCTGACATTTACACAGCAGTTTTCAGCCCCAGATCACAAAATAGCTGACAAACTAAATGGCAAATACATAGTGCAAAATTAACTTTACCAGCGCTGCGATGCATCTGTCTGCGGTGGGCACGCTGTTAAATCAAACTACCAAACATTTTAGGGCTTGGCGGATATTTACCTTCCCCGGCTGAGATAAACTCTAATTACCATTCAATTGCCCAATGAGAAATCACTGCAGCCACAACAAACCTAATGCAGTGGAAGAGCCACTGGATCTGTCATGAATAGAAACAGTCTTCATAGCCTATCAGCGCTTCAAAGCAGAGACCGTATCTTCCTATGTGGTTGCACAGCACCTGAGATGATACACCCCTGATAATAAATCCACTGATAACACGGCGATTGCATTTGCACCTAAAAAGTCATCCCTGATAGCACATCGGTCCTTAACACCACAGTGCGAGTGGTCATAAAGGCGTGCTGGGATGATCTTTATTTCCTCACCTTCGTCCCCTGCCATGGACCACAGCTCCCCAAATCTCGTGACTACCCCAGCGCCCACTGAAGCCAGGGGCTCCTTGTTATAAGGAAGAGCATGAACGATTGACTCATAAACCCCGATTCCTGCAGCGCTGTAGCTTTCCTCAAGGTCTCTCTCCTTGAGAAGTATTTGCCATTTTACATGGGGGTTCTTCCATACGAAGATACCACGCATCATTCATGTCTATTTTACGGAGGATAGAAGCACGTGGCCATGTCTCGCTCAGCAGATCATTACTTCTTCCATTAGCCCATGCCGCATCCTCACTTAAGGGCTGTCTGTACTCGGTGTTCGGATTCAAGCTTTGGACAGCCGGAAGTTTTCATGGCTGTAGAGAGGTGGAAAACATAGTCTGCTGATACGGGTTTTCTCTACACTTTAAATCACAGCATCTCTCAGCTGTATGAATTAAACATGCCTACCTTTAACATCTCTCCCCCTGCAAATATAGCATGTGGGCTCACTCTTGGGATGGGAGACTAAGAAAAGTGCAGAAATGTACCTTGACTGGGTAGTACGTGAGAAACACGTGAATAATAATACAGCCTATTTTCCCCTCTTGCTTGGCCCTTAATGACGTCGCACAGGCAAACCGGTAGCAGACCAGTGATCCACGCAGTCCCGTATCCTGCCTCTCACAGGGATCAATACCCAATCCCCCTAATAGCCGGCTCCCCTGCACACCAGGGAAATTTCTCCCTGACCTCCATCTGCCAGAAGCTGGTTGCTGCTCTGAAGCATGAAAGCTTTCAACTCTGCTGCAGCCGTTCTCCTTTCCAGCTTTGGATTCAGAAGCAAAGACATCGTTACGGATTTGAGAGGCACAAATTCTTGTAAGTGCTATCTTTCATTGGACCA